GCTTTTGCTCGCCTTGAAATTTGCTTGGCCAGCGAAAGCATTTCACATGGCAGGTGAATTCATGAAAGGCTCCTTCATCATGGAGTCTGCTGGTCGTTGGTTTCACCTCATCAATGCGTACATGGACTTGCAAAGCGACTCACCTGTTTTTTTACCTTAGAAAGTCGAACAAAGCTTTCAGGGTTCCGACGTTCATCAGATTCCGAGAGATGGAAACTGTATGGGGGTTACGGCCACCTCATAGGCTGACCATCTGTGCTGGAGGTAGGACGAAGAAACAGTCCTTCTAGGGCTAAATCAAAATGCCTTTAATTGAAAATTTAAGCCACCATAAATCCTGAGAGCATTCCCTCATCCTTTGTCTAAATTATTTTCTCTTTCATTTTTAATAAAGGTTTTCTCTGCTGCCTCCTTCACTGTAGCTCGCGGCCACATCTAGTCTCTGACTGAATTTTGCGATTTGAATTTAACAAGTTTTTATTTTTTAACTTTTCCAAATTTCACTTTGCTTAATTTGCAGGTAAGGCGGAGATCAAATTTAAGCAAAAGCGTGCCTAACTGTGTCACCTTTGCCCTGCTTTGCCCCAGATCCACCTTCTATGTAGAGATAACATGGGGATCCTCCATTCCAGGGGCAAAGTTCATGTTCGGTGTGAACGTACCTTTAGATGTGCAATTGATTAGATCAATATCGGAATTTGGTTTCTGTTTCCATTGTTTAAATCTAAAATCAAACTCAAGCAATAATTATAATACCTGGAAACACTTGAGCGGGACTGAATGACAAGGAGCAGTGCAGTTATTTTATGCATTTAAAACAAAGAAAAAAACTTTTAGCAAAAGCTTTTTTAGCACCATGCCTAACATTAGTGGAAGGCAGGGCCCTGAAACCGAAGAGGCTGATTTCCCAAAGCTATAAGCTTTCCTGAAACACAGTCATTAGCGGAACTACAAATTCATCCATCTAATTTAGGAAACGCCTAAAGCTGCAGGACTTTGGCTCTTAAAGACGGAATTAGAGAGCTGTGCTTTAGAGATTTAGTCATCTCCATCACATAAAGCCACCATAATGACGACTAAACACCTCAAACGTATACATTCAGGCGCTTTTTTTTTTAATGCAGACCAGGTCCTTTAAAGGAGGCAGACTTTAAATTATCTACAAATGTTTTTTTTTTTTCTTTTTTCTTGGAGTGGTAGTTTTGCAATCCTGCTTTATTTGGCCTTCTTTTGGGTGCGCTTGTTTTACAAAGGAGCTCACCCCAGACAAAGGCAAACTTAAATCATATTTACTACTTTATATAAAGTAACTGGATATCAGGTGATCGTCCAACAATGATCTCATTCAGAGATCCATAACTGGGTCAGATGGTCTGCTACAAACTGCTTCAGGAGGTAGTTCCCCTGGAGATTTGCTGGCCTTGAAAAAAAAAAAAGTATTTTAATCTATTTGTGCTTTAAAATCTGTATTTCAGTAAAAATGTAAATGCTTACATTTTGTGTTTATTTTATGAAACCCCTGTGCAGCTTCCCATGAACACCGCAGACACATTAAACATATATTTCATAGTTTTATTTTTAATGACACATGTAGAAAGGAGAAACAAAACAAAAAAACCCATCATCCTACCTGTGAGGAAAACACCAAGTGTTCCTAGTTCTTACATGCCCTATTAAAATACACAAGTAGAAATCATCCCCAGCTTTTCCCTATAGAGGGCGCCATCGGCTTTAAGATTAAGAAACCTTTATTGTCCACCAATGTGGACGTTTGTCTTCAGTTTCAATAAAAACACATCATAACAAGGAGAATACTTTTCAATATATAAAACACCCATATAAAGCTGGATTGTGGGGAGTGGCAGCCTAGTGGTTAGGGCATAGAGCTCCCTAAGACTGTCACTCTGGCACCCCACACTGCTCCCCGGGCGCCGCACAGTGGCAGCCCACTGCTCCACAAGGGCATGGGTTAAACGCAGAGGTAAACTTCTCCCTTGTGAGATCAAGAAAGTTCAATTATTACTAGTGTTGTGCCGATGCCATTTTTTGGCCCTGATACCAATACCTGGCTATGCAGTATTGGCTCATACTGATCCCATACAGATACCATCTGCTTGACATTGATGTGTGTGTTTATATATGAAGAACTGCATACGCCTTGGATGTAAAATAATTGCCATCATGGCTTTATCAAGCTGCTGCCTACCTTTGTGAAGCAGGAAAAAGACTAATACAAAGTGAATCCAGTAGAACTTTGTATTGCCTACCTGGAATGGGAGACTGTAGTTGAATAAACTTTTGGCTCTATAAGTCCAAAATAGTGCAACGTTTGTGAAATTATAACATGTATAATAGTAGTGCAACAGTAAGACAGTAAAATAACATTAATAATTGAATAATCTCTTTTAAACCCTGAGTTTTGGCTCTCAAATGCCAAAATAGTGCAACTTTCATGACCGTATATAACATGTATAATACTAGTCCAACAGTAAGAGAGTGCAATTACATTAATAACTGAATAAATTCTTAAAAGCCCAGAGTTTAGGATCTCAAATGCTATCCATGCCCTTTTTGTTGGTATTCGCCAGATAATGGTAACGGTGCCAAACTTATTAATATTCATGAATTTGGATAGAAACTCTGGTTCTAGCTGAGTGAAAGACAACAAAGAGTCAGAACCTCTAATATTTCTGAGGAGCTGATCTCATCTCAGTAAGTTCTGCTGACAGAGAGCGGCTCCAGGCCGGTGCTGATGGACCAACTGCTTACTGGCTGCCATCGAAACCCGTTCTTGTAATCAACATCTGATAGGAAACTGATGAAGATGTGTTCCTAGAGGACTGAATCGGTTCATCTAGGATCTCCTTCCATCTGAATGAGTCTAGACGCTGAAGTATCTTCATCACACTGATTAAACAAACTTGAATTTTTTTACAGAATAAATAATGAGCAATAAAACCCTGCAGCTTATTTCATTAAGTCACATTTAAACATCTAAATATCTGCTAAACTTGCCTCAGGCTGCAGGAAGAGGAGTGGGTTGTAACCATGGTGATGCTTAAAGAAAAAAAAAAAAAGCACACCCTTTAGTTCATGTGAGGAAAGAATGAATTTTAGGCAGATGGTTTCCTCTCTTAAAGGAATAGTACACCCAAAACATGATTAGCCTTCATTTTCTACTCACCCCATGCTGAACAACACTCTGGAGTACTTTTTTGATATCTCAAATGCATCTGGAGATCTGGGAGGCTTCTTGCTGTCTGCTGACATTCAAATAATGGAGGTCTATGGCGCCCGAGGCAGAAAGGTCCATAAAGGTCCACAAATAACGTCCAATGTATTGATTGATGAAAGTGCGCATTCAGCGTCTGCTCTGCCGATAATGCAAGCGTAGAAGAAGAAATGTGCCGTTTACCTGTGCAAAGAAAGAAACAACGAAAGAAAAATGTCTGAGGACTTCAGTGTTGAGGAAGAGCAGGAGTTCTTTGCCGAGCTGAATGCGCACTTTCATCTGGTTTGGTCTGCCGCGGTTTCCGTAGGCTCGTGAACGCGCTTTTAGGAAATCCTATACACTACTGTTTATGCTCTAAAAACATTCTAAATGACTTCGTTTCGAGTAAATTCTGGATGCTACCCACTCAGGACACTTGGAATACATTGGACGAGCAGTATGGAGGAATATTGACACGTTTTTTGTGGACTTTTATGGACCTTTCTGCCTCGGGCACCATAGACCTCCATTATTTGAATGTCAGCAGACAGCAAGAAGCCTCCCAGATCTCCAGATGCATTTGAGATATCAAAAAAGTACTCCAGAGTGTTGTTCAGCATGGGGGTGAGTAGAAAATGAAGGCTAATCATGTTTTGGGTGTACTATTCCTTTAACACACGCTGGTGAATTGAGTCCTCAACAGAAGAAGGCTGGTGGGATGGAAGTCGGAACCAGAACGACCAATCAAACCTTCTGTGACCTTCGATAGGATAGCCTAGGCCCTAGGCTAACGCAATCCAACCTACCAATGGATCGGCAATGCAAGGTTAAAATAAGCAGATAAAAACAAATTAAAATGGGTAAACAGAAGATCAGAGGTGTCCAAAGCATGGCCCGGGGGCCACATATGGCCCTCTGAATACATTTGTTAGGCCAATAATAAATCAGACCTTAAGCCGCCGGTGGTCAGTGCAGATGGACACATTTTATTTTATTTTTTTGGAAGTTTTTGTACAAAAAAAAAAAGGAAAATCTTGTTTAATTAAAATAAATTTCAGCTACAATTCAATTCTCTATCATAAACCAGTTTTCTGTTTTCACCTTAATTTTATATTAACAAACCTCAAATCAAATCTCCCAGTATTCATCATCTTTGGTCAAATACAGCAAGCGCTGAGTGATGACTGGACTGGTTGCTTACCATAAACAAAAAAAAATAAATTAATTAAAAATAATAATCAAACAATCAAGAAAAACATTATAGCATAAAACCTAAAACAAAGACAAATCCTAAAGAAACAACTTACAAATAAGTGAAATCAAAAAGGCAATCATACAGTCAGCTATGTACATTCTGCCTCTGCAGCGATAAGAGCACTTTGTTCAGAGGAAATTGTTCATATTTTAAAAGATAAAGTGAATTAAAATAAAAAATAAATTTTTTTCCCCCCATTTTGATTTATTGGAATTTTTTTTGTGGCTCACAGATGCCCTCAGTCTGATCTTAAAGCCAAAAAGTTTGGACACTTATTGTATATATTAACTGTGATGTCATAGCTGCACCTGTAATATATGTAATATATGTACACCTGAAGCACCTGTATTATTTTAATGTTTATTAAAATTGCATATTAATCTCTTTTGTGCCTTCTTGTGTGACCTGTTTAATATTTGGATATTTCTGTAGCTACACATTCAGGCTTGACCAGAACTTCCCTCTGAAATGCAGAAATTCTGGTTTGCCACACCTGAAACTGTCCGGTAGCTCTTCCTTTGGAAAAACGTAACTGGCTGCCATTGTTGGCTTTAAATTAAATAACAGCTGATAGTTGGCGAGTTCAAAGATAGTTTGTTCCAGATGTCGTCCTTTGTTTATAATAGTCCTTTTGGTAATTATCTTGATATAGATCTATTTGGAGTACCAATATTTTATTTTAATTATGTTTATCATTTATGTATTTTCTTATTATTTTAGTGATCAATGGCGTTAAATGTAAATATGTATCATTTATTTTGTAAATGTCTTGTGCGTACAGTGTGTAAAGTGATGTTACAAATTGTATTGTCACACGGAAGATTGGTGTCCCCCAGGAAGAATAGCTTTTAGCTTATGCTAAAATAAATAAATAAAACAAACAAACTGGTTGTACAATTTCCTTCTAATCGCTTCTGAGAGTCTTACTGTTCCTGAAGAATACGATCCAACCTAAGGGTTTACAGTTACAGTCTGAACCTGTTACCTGATCTAAAAAAACATTAACCAACACTGTGTCCAGTCAGTGAGATGATAAATAGTCACTTAATATTTTGTTGCTTAATGCGTTTCTCTTTTTGACGAAGGATCGATATTCAGCTCCATTCCAGCTTCAGTAACTCCACTTTTAAATACATCACTTATACCTGAGGAATGAGATAAATAGGATTCTGCATCCACCCTCCACCTCTAACATTTATGGTGTTAAACACCTGGGGAGACGTCCAGGTGATTATACTGCTCTGCATTGCTGATCATCTATGGCAATGTGAGCGGTCCAAGTGGCAACTGGATCTGTGACCAATTCTACAAAAAGTGGGATGCATGAAGGAATTGTGCAAATTCAAGTTCAGAGGTTTCTCACAACTCAAACATTAACTATGAAAACTACACACTTTTTAGTGCATGAGGCCCCAGGGCAGCTCAAACCGTCCATGAGGGCAGAAATTAGTGCAAATTTACAAATAGATCAGAACTTCCTTAAGGCGGAAATCAGTGCAAACTCAGACTGATTATCAGCTCACACTGTCCCTGAAAGCCCTTGGACATGACCCTCCCTGAAGGCGGACCTCTGTGCAGGTCTGGAGATTGTCTGTTTCAGTGCTCAGAGGAACCCTCAGTCCAGACCCTCCCTGAATGAGACCATCAGTGCAGATCCTGGAAGGGTTTGGGGTAGCTGAACATCAGGTAGTCCTGATAGTAAAACTCAAAGACCTTCTGCCGCTCAGTGCTGTTCAGCAGGGAGAAATATTCCCGAGTGATTCTGGATGAGGTCCGTTCTGCCAGCGGATTCCTGTCTTTAAAGTTGGGGAAGGTGAGGTTGTTTGGTGCCCGAATGCTGTGCAGCAGGAAGTCGGCGTCCTCCTGCAGGCTCTCAAACTTCCCAATGAAGTTGTAAGGGATCAGACAGGGGCTGCACAGCTTGCTGACCCGCTCCCAGTGGATGTCCATCCCAACGGGTTTCTGTGCATCCAGCAGGTACTGAACAAACTCCCTGAAAGTGACGCCGGCGCCGGTTCTGAGAGCAGACCTTGTGGCATTGGGCCGGTACCTGGAAATGATGGCCCGTCCAAACACAGGATGGTAGTATGAGTTCGGACTCTCAAACTTGTCCCTGAAGGCTGAGACAAGCCGCTCAAAGGGCTCCCTAACGAACAGAACCTTTGTGTAGGATCGGAGTCTCTCAGCGATCCCGATCCGATTGTAGCTGTCCAGCCGCCGAAGCTGGTTGTTATAATGAGCTGCATCATGAGGAATGTCCTGTGTGGAGCTGGCTCTGCCTCCCAGAACCATGAGGACCCGTTTCCAGTTGGAGCAGCCAGCTTTGGGCACCTCACAGTATAACAGGCGGAACCGGTCTTCCACATAAATGCGAGATACCTGCTGCGGTGTTATCCGCTGCCTCCCATGGGCCGGCCGGTACCGGGTGCAGACGTCGCTCAGCAGGCGCCGCCGGGACGCCTGCGTCCTCAGCTGCTGCAGCACCTCCTCCCCGCTCTTCAGCAGCAGCTTCGTTTGGCGCTTAGTGACGGGCTGCTTGTTGCTAGGCAACATGTCAGGACAAAGTCGGAGGCTATTAGTTGGCCGGGCTGCAGCTGGAACCTGAAACACAGAACAGTATCAAAACCTGAGGCTGCATGAGGAATCCAAAACCAGAATCTAGACTTGAGCTGCAGCTGTAGCTTAAAATACCAACTATTACCAGGATCAGAACCGGACCAGACAGTGAAGGAGACAGCAGAGAAAACCTAAGCTTAAATTTTAAAGGGGCCATACAATGATTCTATAGTGTATTTGGTGCTGGTCCTTAAGGTCTCTGAATAGGGTGTGTAACATTGATTGGGCTGAAAATGGCATATTTGCTGTTCTATGAGCCCTAATGCAACACTGGTTAAAAGCCCTAGAATGAAACCACAGGTTTTCTTCCTTTTATGGTATGATCATGAATATTTAGATGAGCTGTGCTCTGATTGGTTGGTTTACAACGAGCGAAGCTGCTGAGCAAAGACGCATCATAGCAACAAGCACTCACTCACTGAAACATCAAATTGTTGATATGGTAGGGTGACCAGACGTCCTCTTTTTCCTGGACATGTCCTACTTTTCATACCTAAAAAAATGGTTTGGTTGACAGTGCAGCAGAACCGTCAGCTGTTGTTTTATATTTGTATTTATCTGATAATTTTTCTTTTCTCAGTTAATTTCCTTGTTTTGTTTTTTTTATTCACATTTTTTATTGACAGGAACCAGCTGGGAGAAGACCTTTAAGACTTCTGATGAAAACTTTGAGGTTGGTCGCTGTATCCGAATATCTGCCCTAATCACTATATAGTGGTTAAGCCATTTTAGACGAGTGTCCGAACGTCTAGTGGATGAAAAAGTGGTGAGCTTGAAATTTCCCACAATGCAACTTTAAAAGTAGTGATCATCCATCTGAATGGTCAGGTAATTGAATTTTCTATAAAGTCCACCATTTTGCCCCCAGTCAATACGGTGATGGAGGGATTTAGGGATTCGGACATACATTCGGAAACAGCCACTGCTTCCACCTTAAAGTCGTAGGGAAACGGCCGTTCCAACCGTTGCATCTCCGAATTCTGTGGTGCCCGACTTTACACTAGTGAATAAAGTGAATGGTTGTTTATCAAGGGGGAGGGATTGTTGTGGCAAGTTTGGTTGTGACCGGTCTCTCGGAAGTGTCATTGCTAACCAGTTAGCATCTTAGTGCTAGCAGGTTCCCAATGGGAAAGTACATTGGGACCAAGTAGCACTAAATTGGTGACTTAGAAACGACGCTGTCAAGGAACGCTATGGACAGAGGAAACATGCAAGAGGAGGAGAGTTTAGTGTCGGAGGTCGTGGATGAGTCTCCTCTGTCATCCATTTTTTATTTAGAGGAGGAAAGCGGGGACGAAGACATTATGGAAGAGGACGCCAGGGAGGCAGAAGCTTGGTTTGGTGTAGAAGGCTTCCAGCCGTACATGTTTGAGCCCTTGCCTCGCAACGCTGCCAGTTCTGTTAGCTCTACGCCTGCTGAAGACACAGACGTCCATCCCCGTGAACACTGGGACTCAACTCAATGGGAAAGGAAAGGATTCTTATTTCTTATTTCAACCGTTGCGTATATTAGCTGTGACATATGAATCAAGATGCTATGACTGAAAAAATGTCATTGACAGATGACCGATGATATACGATTGGCCAAATTTAGGTGTACAGGCTGACGTATAACTAGACAGGTGTTTTTTTAAAATAGAAATTTTCTAACTTTTGGGAAAACATGTTCTGATAAAGAGTACATTTATATACATGTTTAAGGCAGAATGATTTGACATTTAAATATGATTTCCCTACGGTCTTAAGTGCTGCTGTTCAAAACTGCTGCAGTGATACAGGTGTCAAGCATGTGACATCATGGTGCCATTCTCACCTTCAGTACGGGCCGCCGCCGACCATCTGGAACCGGAACACCTGAAATAGAGAAACAGAGTTGAACAGAGCCCCTGGGAGAGCTGAACCATCAGTGAAGGGCGTACAGCTCTCCTCTATTTCAGGTTAATGTTTGTTCAGAAAAGTTAACATGGAGTCACTTCCACCATTGCTACTGTAATTCTCCTCTGCTGGGAATACTCTGGTCCTAATCTGGTTCTGTGCCAGCGTCAGATCCGGGCCACCTGCTCTAATGCTGGGCCTGTTTTAGTATCTAAAGCCACAGCTGTGCAGCTGCTGAGTTTGAACTGCCGCTCTCTATGTCTGTGCTGCATGTTGGAGAATCCATGTTTGATCTGTAAGGTTCTGGTTCCATATCAGTGAATCGTTTTTAATGAAATAAAGATGAAGCTGCAGAGGTTCTTCTGCTTCGCTGATGGGATGACACAGCTCCCCTGAAAGCTTCTGCGCTTCTCATGATACTTTTCAGTCACAACGGCAAATTTTCAAATATTAATGAGTTGGATATAAATAAAAGATGGACGGAGAGGATGAGGAGGGCGGACAGCTCTCATCTCCTAAGGAGGATTCAGCCAATCCACCCAACTATCCTAAGAACAACAGAAAGCCTCTTCCTGCTCGGATTGACAAACACAAGAACTGATGACTGAGGTCAGACCTTCATCCACCTGGCATGTTCTTGTTCCAGCTACATATTCCGCTCTATACTGCATATTTCACTCCCTGTATTGTGGTCCCCATGTTCTAACCGATATGCTGCACATGCTCTTCTTCGAGTCTTCCACTTCATATGTCCAGATAACATAGCGGGAGCAGACAATGTAGATCCTGCCCAAAGCTTTGCATGTTCTGATAATTATGCTCCTATGTCACATGCTCTCCACAAGTTCCAGTTAAATTTTTTTTAGCTTCACATGTTCTGCTCCACATGCTCTTTTCCAAATATATTCATTCATATATGATGTTTTTCATGCTTAGAAACAGGGTGATTAATGACACCAAACAATGCGACTGTTTTAGGCCTTGGTTCCTGAAACTGCTGAGCTCTATAATCACATCCAGCATATATTCTGCTCCATAGCAAAAAGTAAACGCCCTACATTATGGTTCCAATTTTCCTACAAATGTTTTGCCCCTTTGCGACAGACTGGCAGACTGTCCTGGGTTTATCCTGCCTCATGCCCATAGACTGCCGGAGATAGGCACCGGCCCCACCGCGACCCTGACAAGGACTAAAGGCTGGTTTATACCCACCCCTTCCACAGACACTCTGGTCCACCTCTCCAAAACCAGGTAGAAGAAAGAGGTGCATGAGAACGCTGGGACCCTTTTTCCACCTGGATCACCGCTCTTTTTCGCCCTCATGTCCCTCCGTTTTCGCACAATCTTGCCCCATTTTTCCACCGCCTCGGCCGTATCTAGACCCACAGCTAGTTCGTGATTGTCCCTCTTGCGTTGTGGCGTGGAATAACATGGTGCAGACCACGCTTCAATATTGGGCATAAATCAAAAATATCTGCAACAATCTCACTGCCACACACTGCTGCAGGAGTATAACCAGTCCTTAAGCGGAAGAAGATGGATGGATGTTTTGCTCCACATGTTCTATGCTACACCTTTGGCTCCACATGTCTGACTGTACATATTAGATACTGTATGTTCTGCTCCACTAGTTCTATAGGACATGTTCTTACAACATATCCTGCTGCACATGTTTTAAATTACATGCACTGTTGCATATCTTGCTTTACGTGTTCTACTTGGACACGTTCTATTCTACATGTTCTATACCAGGGTTTCTTAATTTTGGTGCTCAGGGCTCAGTGTCCTTCATGTTTCAGGTGTGTTCCAGCTTCAGCAGAATGAAAAGGTGATCATCAGGCTACTGCAGGATATGATGGCTGCTGAGGAGGTAATTCAATCATTTGAATCAGGTGTGTTTGAATAGAGACAAAGAAGAATAGGGTAAAGAAAACTTGTTCTATACAACATGTCCTGAAGCCTGTTTGACAAAGCAAGTTTAGGAAACAGACTCAAAGTCTCAATTCTAAATCGATCTAGCCCAAGGTTTCAGTTTATTAAAAGCTGCTGTGAGTTAGTTTAATCCACTCTAATGCTACGTTCAGACCGCACGCAGCAGAAGCAGCATAAAGCGCGCCCTGCTTCAATTTTGATGCTTGTACAAGTTTAGTTCTGACCCGAGGCTGAAGCATCTTTGCTGCTCTGGCTGCGCGGTGCAAAAGTGTGTCTGAGGCGCGTTGGGCGGAGCTTCACTATCCTTTCTTTGCCTTGCAGCTATATTTGCTGTGATCAGTGGGAATAAAGTAGTTTTAATATGTTTTTAAGTGAGAAAATACACCTGAAAACTTCATCAGTGCAGTCAGTTCATCCTGATTATCATCCTGCCTTCAATATTTTTTCTGTCGGAGCCGCTCAGACCCCCACATACCAGCGGTGCGCCGACAGTAGGAATCCCTTCATCAGCAGCCTCTGGCCGGGTCGCCTCCTCGCGGTTCACCGCGGCAGCTGGTAGGTGTTTTTCCTCTAAATAATCCAAACTGCAGGCACCAGGATAATAAAAGCGAACATATTCTGCCGGCAGATTTCTGCATTTTAAGTTAATTTAGGCGTCAATCAACTGTTTCAGAGGAGCGATCACAGCGCTCTGATCATCAGCGCTGTGTCTCTCTCCCTGCCAGCTCCCAGATCAGCTTCTCTGATTGGTTGACGCGGCGCGTCGAGCAGCAAAAATTAAATTTTTCCATCTCAAGCAGCAGCGCGTTTGCGTGTTTTTTTATTAGGCTATAAATATTAATTAGGTCTACAAAGAATATTCAGCTTCACATGCCCTATTCTATATTTATTTTTACGTCCTGTATAACAGAAAAAGGGTGATAACTCATGTTTGATTGAATAAAACGTTCAGTCCTGGATTCCTGAAACATCAAGGCCTCACAACCACATTCAGGAACCTAATAAATTATCAGTATTTGGCTGCAGGAGTTTGAACTGGGAGCAGAAAGTAGAGGAAGTCTCCACACAGGAGCATTGATGTGTGGAAGTTTATGGAAAACATAAATCTCTAGAGGACTTCGTCATGATAATGAGGAGCAGAGAGCTGAAGGCTACAGATCTCTGCTGTAGATCTGAAGGTTCTATTTAAGTTCTGTAGCAGAGCAGACAGTAAATCTACTTTAAAGTTTTAATTAGAAATTGTGGAAATTATAACAGATTCTCATTAGAGTCAGAGATATAGAATATAGTCATTTCTTTCATTATAAATAGTTTATAGTTTTTTTAAATTGCGAGGGGAAAAAAAAAATCTGAATTTTTTGGCTCCACCAGACTCTGCATCCAAACAAAACAATGGCAAAGTTTCGGCTTCATCTGGTTCAGATTCCCTAAAACTCTCAGATTAAGCACCGTTTGTCATTTGAAAATGAATCTGTTAATTGATTTACAGTCAACAGAAGAATTGATAAAAAGCATAACTGATGTTTCCAGAATCCAGAGGTCAGACTGATGATGCGACTCTTTTAGTTCCAGCTGAGGATGTTTTCAGATCTGTGTCACTTGCAACTGCCTACCTGCTGATTTAACTCATCATCATAAGCCTCATTATTTCAAGCAGTTTATCCTCTTCATATTTCTTAATGTTGAGACAAACTGAATTTCAAGCAAGAAGAAAGACGGTGTGATAAACCAGAGGACTAAATAGAGTTCTTGTCCATCTGCTGCAGCAGCTTCATGACTGTCCACACAGAAGGACGGCAGCTTATCGAGGCTGCAGACGGATGGATGAGGCGTCTCACAGAGTGATGCTGCCATCAGATTCATCTGAAGGCAGTTTGTTTCCACCTGCTGAACTCTGACCGACCTTCCTGAAGTTACTCTACTGCTTTCAGACCACATCCATTCAGGAGATTCTTCATCTTTTATTCATGAATCAGCATCCATCCATTCCTCCCAGAGGACCAAGAGAAATGTGGATGTTTTAAGGTTTATCAAGGCTAAAGCTGGACGTTTTGAATACAACTTCTAGTTCTCTAAATCTGCTCACCTTAAAATGGCTTGATTATTCGGTCGCTACAGAGTAAAGAGGGATTTCTGATAGTGAACAGTGGTTTTGCTCACTTTCACTTTTTGCTTATTTTGTTATAAAACTGTTTTACAGAGCAGATTTCCAACTGTCTGTCCCACACGATGCCCAATTCAGAGCCAGGTCAAAACCACACTGAATGCACGGCCACCATCGTGCTTTGGTCCTTAACCTCTTACACCCTAAGGGGGTATAAATAAATTTCTGCCTGACAAAAACACCCAAAAGTAAATCACTTATAGCCTCAAAGCTATTAGATTTAAGAAGAAACTTTTGGTACGTCTGTAAAGGTAAGATGTCATAGAATGGTTTTCTGGTGTCAGCACCATTGTAGCTTTGACCCTGCCTTAAATATTAGGGACAAAATACAAAATATTTTGCATTTTTTGAACCTCGCCAAAATTTTCTTTGAAATAAACATTGCAAAACACTACCAAAATATTATTTATAGCACAAAAAAGTAGTACAGACTTTTAAATCTAAATGTTGTGTAAAAATATACCAAATTTGGACTCAATCATATGAATCATATTTATTTTAGAATGGTATTAGTGAGAAATTTCTTAGGCGGAGAGGCCATTTTGGCACATTTTTCCAAAAATTTCACCAAACTGTGCCAAATGTGTTTTTTACATCAATACTGGGGGTTTGTTAAAATTACGAGGTCACGTGGCAGCTGGACCTGCCGGTGGGTCCATCGGGTTCTAGGGGTTAAACTCTGGATGTGATCAACAGCAGGAGGTATGAAGCTTCTGATCTGATCTGATATCTCAGGTGTCAGAAGGTTCATGACAGAACAATTAAGAAGACTGAATGAGCGAGAACGCCAGTTGTTCTGGGATCCAAGGTAGTTTGGATCGCTGCGCTCAGTGCCAATGCGCACTTTCATCTGGTTTGGTCTGCCGCGGTTTCCGTAGACTCGTGAACGCGCTTTCAGGAAATCCTATACACTACTGTTTATGCTCTAAAAACATTCTAAATGACTTCGTGTCGAGTAAATTCTGGATGCTACCCACTCAGGACACTTGGAATACATTGGACGAGCAGTAAGGAGGAATATTGACACGTTTTTTGTGGACTTTTATGGACCTTTCTGCCTCGGGCGCCATAGACCTCCATTATTTGAATGTCAGCAGACAGCAAGAAGCCTCCCAGATCTCCAGATGCATTTGAGATATCAAAAAAGTACTCCAGAGTGTTGTTCAGCATGGGGGTGAGTAGAAAATGAAGGCTAATCATGTTTTGGGTGTACTATTCCTTTAAGCAGGAGGGTATACTTTGACAGTAGAACAAACTGAATGTTTATGTATGATGAAGATCTATATCCTAAGAGGGAACTTTGTGTGAATCTGCAGCACAGTGTTGTGCAGAATCAGATTGCGAAGTAGGAGGATGCATTAACACCATCCCAGAGGACACTCACCATCGATCCAATTAAACAACAACAAGCAGCTGAAACCAGAACCACTCTGATCAGTCCACAGGGACAGTGGAACGCGCCATCAGTCTGACTCCTCATTTCCCAGGAAAAAAAAACATCATCGCGTCAGAGAGGCTGGATGGGGCTGCTGCATGATGCAGCTCAGTGGAGGAAAATGTTGATCTAATGAGTTTGGCTTTTTATTCTAGAAGATGATCCAGATGGAAACATGCCAGCCGGATTTTGAACCAAAGCTTTAAGGCACTGAAACGGTCCAGAAACCAGATCTAGATCATTTAACAGGTGAAACAGCAGCTGACCAATTGCGGTTTAACAGACAGCATCAAAAACTGAGGAGTTTACCAAAGATCAGACCCTCCAAAAAGGAAAGCACACTTCAGCAAACTGTTGGGATGCTGCTGCAGCAGAAAGGCGCTCCTGTTAATCTCACCAGGATCCCTCCTTTCAAGGATGCAATGCAACTTTACCTTTAACAGAGGAGGGTGGAGCGAGCTACAAACGCTGTGATCTGCTCAGCTCCAGCCCACTTTTAGACAGCCTACTTATACTGCTTATGAACCTCTACTGCAGCATCAGGACTAGTTTTAGGAGCCTGGGGACCCTCAGTGAGGATCAGAGTTCCTGTATGGATCTGCAGGTTGTTTTGCTCCCATCTAAAGAGGACTTTAAATGCTGTAGTTGGGATAATTCAAACTTTAGCCTTTAACGAAACACTGCTTCCCTGCCTGTTTTTATCTTCTGATAAGAACCAAACTTTTAACTGCTGGATGATTCCTGAACCTTAAAGGGGGAAAAACATTTCAGATGTAAATGAACAACAGATAAACTGTTTCCTAGTGATCATCAAATATTAATTCGCCCCAATTGCACATTTATTTTCAGACATGTAGATGTTTGTGGTGTAGATGTTCCCATGTAATTGCATTGATAAGATTCAGAGATGGTTGGCAGAGTGAGATATTTACAGCAAATCAATAATTAATTAGGAGTTTTAGATTTCATAGCATCACTGAAACTGAGCCCAGACCAGCTGACCTGGCAGCACTGACCTGGGTTCTTCTGCAGGATGGAGTCAGTGAGGTGATGCAGGTGAACCAGGAGGAACAGTGATCCTAACCCGAGGAGAGGGAGACACCACAGAGAACAGAGCAGGGAGCGGGGAAGTTTCATCCTCCAGCAGGCTGGTCCCAGATCAGCCCCAGATCCTGAAATCACAACATTTAGGATGTTAGACCTGGATGGAATCATCACCTGGAATGTAAACACCACCTTACTGGTCAAAAGGGCACAGAAGCTCATGTACTTCCTGCGGAGGATGAGGAGAGCCCACCTGCCCCCACCCATCCTCACCACCTTCTACAGAAGCACCATAGAGAGCGTTCTGAGCAGCTGTCTCACTGTGTGGTGTGGAGGCTGCAGCGCCTCAGACTGGAAGAAGGTGAGAACAGCAGAGAGGATCATGGGGGCCCCTTTTCCCCCCATTAAAGACATTTCATCCCAGCGCTGCGTGTCCCGAGCCCGTGACATCATCACTGACCCCTCACCCCCCCACCATGGACTGTTCCCCCTGCTGCCCTCTGGGAAGAGGCTTCCCAGCATCCAATGCAGGTCCTGCAAATTCTGGAACAGCTTCTTCCCCACTGCCATTAGACTGCTGAATGTTGTATAAAAAGGGATAAAAAAAAAAACGCCAAATGTTGGAAACTGTAAATCATATACCAGTTTTAAGTTTAGATTTGATCACCATGTTTACATTTATCACTGCTGCACTTTAAAATGGAAATTCCTTGGGAGTTGTACTGAACAAAATTAATTTTTGTATACACTCTGCATGTACAAAATGACAAAATATGTCTAAGTCTAAGTCAAACATCATAGAGGGTAAGAACAAAAGACATTAGAAGGACTCTAAATCTGGGGGTGATGCTGTTAAACTAGTCCATGCATTTGTTACTTCAAGGCTCGACTATTATAATTCTTTACCATCAGTAAGTCCACAAACTGTAGTTAAAAGCCTTAAGTTGATCCAAAATGCTGCAGCCAGAGTTCTAAACAAAGTTAGACTTCTATCACCTAAAGAACATCTCCAGGAATAAAGGTCTAATGTCTACTAATAATAATAATAATTTAACTATATCTCACATTGGAGAAGTTAACCTCTGCATTTAACCCATCCCCTTGGGGAGCAGTGGACTGCCATCACGGGGCGCCCAGGGAGGAATCAGGGGTTAAGGGTCTTGCTCAGGGACCCAGAGTGGCAGTGGGGGTCCAACTCAGATTCCAAGCTCTAAGCCCTAACCACTAGGCCATCACTCCCCCCAAAGGAGGGAGCAGGACCTTGATAAACTGCTTCCTGCTTCGTTTCTCTTTAGTGGAATTGATCGCTGCAGCGGCGTCTTCACAGGGCTTCCTAAAAGTGAATCAGACAGCTGCAGCTGATTCAGAATTCTGCTGCCTGCATCCTCACTAGAACTAAGAAAGTGGAGAAAATCAGCCATCCATCCATCCATCCATCCATCTTCCTCCGCTTATCCGGGGTCGGGTCGCGGGGGCAGCAGCCTAAGAAGGGAGGCCCAGACTTCCCTCTCCCCAGCCACTTCTTCCAGCTCTTCAGTAGGAACCCCAAGGCGTTCCGAGGCCAGCCGAGAAACATAGTCTCTCCAGCGTGTCCTGGGTCTTCCCCGGGGCCTCCCCCTGAGGAAGACCAGGGACAGGGAGGCCCCGGGGAGGCGTCCAGGAGGCATCCTAACCAGATGCCCGAGCCACCTCAACTGGCTGCGAGAGAGCAGCGGTTCTACTCCGAGTCCCTCCAGGATGACCGAGCTTCTCACCCTATCTCTAAGGGAGAGCCCAGCCACCCTACGGAGGAAACCCATTTCGGCCGCTTGTATCCGTGATCTCGTTCTTTCGGTCATGACCCAAAGTTCATGACCATAGATGAGGATAGGAACGTAGATCGACCGGTAAATCGAGAGCTTCGCTTTTTGACTCAGCTCTCTCTTCACCACGACAGACCGGTACAGCGCCCGCTTCACAGCAGACGCTGCACCAATCCGCCTGTCGATCTCCCGCTCCCTTCTTCACTTCATTTTCTCAAAGTGGAGAAGATCAGCCCAGTTCTAAAGTCCTTCCACTGGTTCCCCTAATCTCAGAGAAAAGACTTTCTAATTCTTCTGTTAGTCTAGAAATCACTCAATGGCTTTGCTCCGAAATACATTACAGATTGGTTGGCAGTGGATCGACACAAGTTCTTCTTAGATTCAAAAATTCTAATTAAATATGAAAACAATGAAATTTTAAGAAAACAGTTGATCAATTGTTCTCTTACAGCTGCTTTTTGTATCTCTGCTTCCGTCTCCTTGAACCCCAGTCGGCCTCAGCAGATGGCCGCTCACACTGAGCCTGGTTCTGCTGGAGGTTTCTTCCTGTTAAAAGGGAGTTTTTCCTCTCCACTGTCGCTACAAGCATGCTTAGTGTGAGGGATTGCTGAAGAGTCAATGAGTCAATGCAATCAACTGTTTTCCTTAGACAGAAAACTTTGTATCAATTTGACTGGATGATCTGGTTGAACTGCAAAGTGCCTTGAGATGACATGTGTTGTGAATTTGGCGCTATATAAATAAACTGAATTGAATTGAATTAGTCTGCATAATAAAATTAAATCAGGAAAACAAAGTCATTTCTGTGAGGTTCAAAGTTGGAACTGATTTTCTAAAGAGCAGCAAACCAGCCGCTGGTCAGTAATGATCAGCTGGAAACGACACAAAGCCGCTGCAGGAAACTGTTGCTCATATCAGAACATTAATCCAATCGTCTGCAGTCAGGAGCTAAACTTGCCCAGCTATCAGAAGGTTAATGATACACTGGCTCCTAAAGTGAACATCATCAGGAATCCCTCAACAATCTCCAGACCCTCTGCTCCCAGTCGTCCCAGTATTCCCAGTTCAGGTGAGCTTTTAAGGTCCTTTCGGAGACTCCGGTCCCATTCCGGAAAACTGGCATTAATTGTGGTGGACCCAGACTTCCTGTCCGATTTTCTCCAACAGTTTCGCCTGCAGCTCCATCAGCTGGAGAGGAGCCCAGCAGGCATATATTTATAAATCTGGTTATTTGTTCTTTACAAATACAGAAACAGCTGAAATCTGATTCCTGTTGAATCTGCGTAAGCAGACAGAGCAACCTTTATGCTGTCCCTGCAGCCCAACCACAGCCTGAGGAGTCCTAATAAGGAAAGCACAGAGGAAAGGGGTGATCACAGGACACACAAACTGAAACAGAGCTGCATTCATGATGGAGGATTACTGTGTTAATCAACACTGCATGATCTGAGAACTGAAGAAAAAGCCAAGAGTTAATCTGATGAGACAGATGGCTAAAGGTTTAACTGGTGCAGAGGTGGAACCATCCCTGAGCCAAAGGGCATAAACTGGAAGCAGCCGACAATAAAACTTAAGAGTAAAACAGATGATCTGTTGCTGACCTTTGACCCTTTGACCAGCCAACAGACTCTCTGAACGAATCAGCATGACGGGTTCTCTCTGTTGGATCAACATCTGTCCAGAGTGATTTGGATTTCTGCTTTCAATAAAACAGATGTAACTAAATCAGGGATGCAGAGATCCACATTTTTCCCTTCCAATTAGGTACATGTATGTATGAATGCACTCATGGATAACACAAAATAAAGCTGCAAATTAGTCTAAGGTCAGAAAAGAAGGTCATAACACATTCAATCATGCTAACAGGAGAAAAAAAACCAACGAAAAAACTAACGGTGTTATCACTACCTGATCTCTACCGGTAGCACAATTTGCACCATCGGCTCAACTGCGCATGTGCAAGCAGATAATTCATCTCCAATGAGCTCCTTGATATGTGCTTGATAATGGCTTTGTCTCCATTCAAACCCAGGTTTAAACGGTCACTTCAGATGTTTTATAAAATATGTGAATCAGGAAATTGTCTATATACCAAACTGAATGATTGATGTTATCTACTTCAAAAAACACTTTAGCTTTTGAAATGGAAAATTGTTCTTTTTTTTAATTAATATTATATTTTTTTTATTTAAAAAGTCAATGTATAATATGGATGCATAAAAACACGTTTTTTATTTCAGTGTTAAATTCTGTTTAAAATTGGTTACCCCTGCTATAAAGTGTTAAAGTTCAATAATGTATTTTTTGAGAAAATAAATGCATTTAAATCCTCAATCTTACGTCTGGGAACTAACTTTTTCATCTTTGGATTTGAACATAGATCAAGTATATTTGATAGGGATGCACGATATTGTGATTTTGGCCGATATCCGATATGCCGATATTTTAAAACTCATGTAGCCGATAACCGATATCGATACCGATGTTAAAGCTGGACAAAAATAAGTAGTCATTGAAAATAGCAGTTTTGTTATCCATTTCTGACACTTTGAAAAATAATATACTCAAATATATTTTCATATGCTGATATCAAATTGATTTTTAAAAACGCGGTATCGATCTATTTTACTTTCAAAATTTCGTGAAATTTCATCGTTCTGTTACAAACTCTCGTGATATTTTGCAAATTCTTGTGAGATTTTGTTAGTAAAATAGATCGATACCGCGTCAATATATCAACATATAAAAATATGGCAAAATTTCGTGAATTTTCAGGGGATTTCGTAGCATAACGATGACATATAGCAATATTTCATTAGTAAAAGAGATTGATATGGTGTTTTTAAATGGCAATATATCAGCATATGAAGATATTGGGATATTTTAATGGATCAATATTTTTTCCCTCGTCTTTAGAAGTTTTTAAGTCTGTAAAAAATAAGTTTTTGAGGAAGAGGAAGAAGTAGTATTGTTTTTTTTTTTTAGACTTTAGAAACTCAGAAGCTGATCAATTATCGGGTTAAATATCGGTGGGGTGGCCGATGTCTGATATTCAGTTTTAAGGCCGAAACCGATAGGGGGCCGATTATATTGTGCATCCCTAATATTTGAGTTTTAATTTTTCTTGTCCTGTTAAAATTATGGTGTAAATAGAGCATAATCTAAAGAAAGAAACAACTAAAATGCAGATAAACATGGTGTAATCATACTTTGCCAGACTACTCTGAGCATGTCCCATGATTATGTCAGACAAGCAGTTTAAAAAAATGACACCAGAAGTGAAAAAATGCAAAATATAAATCATATTTCAGACGACAGATGAGCTG